TCCTGATTTTAAAGCAGAAAAAGCTTTACTAACAAAAAATAAAATGAAAAGCAAATACCATGAAAATACTCAGAGAAATTACATCAATGATATTCATATTAACAATACACAATATTAATATAACAACAATTAAACTATTTTAAATATATAATATTTATAAATAATAATAATATTTACTTAATTGCTGCCATTTCAGGTCAGTTTCCCTTAATACTAGATATTGTTGACTTCAACTAAACTTTAAGCTATAATTGTTCACACGTAAGTACATCCTTGATAGGGTGGGGATGGTGGCCAGGGTTGGAACAGAGTTGGAATTGTTTGTGAATTGCATACTGGGACTTACTTCACTTTTAACTGTTTGCTTTTGCAAGGATAGCAGTCCAGTTGTGTTACTGAATTAATATTTATAACCATTTTTTAAAATGTTCTGATCTGGGAAATCATCATGGCATATTTTTAGATCAGCTTTCTGAGTAAAGAAAGTAGTGGTTTGCTATGTGCAAATAAAATGATGTTACTATTTTCAACTGCCCCTACTTGCAGTGGAGAAAGTTCGTTCAGCAAGCAGAAGGAAAAATTTGAGCTTTCATAGCAAATGCCGTTTTTAGCCTGCTTCGATCTTTGAACTAAGATTATACTCAACCACTCTTTCTCATTGCACAAGCAGACCCTGGAAACCAGTACACTAAAATTAGGAGGCATGTTTGCATTTTCAACCTCTCCAAGCGCAGCACTGCAAATAGTTCCTTCCAGCTATGTCATTATTGTACAATATAGGCTTTGGGTTTTTTTAGAAAGCAAATGTCATTACTTACATCTCTTCCACGTTGCTTTAAAAAAATACCTGCTTTGTTTGGCAAAATGAGTGTGAGGACTGAAGCTGCCCTTACTGCAGTGTCCTTGCTGACCCCGTAAGCATAGGAGCCTGGATTTGTTGCAGGCACTTTGGCAGCCAATGGTTCATCTCGAGGGAAGGTATGAATGCAAAGCTGTGACTTTTCTGTTTTCAGGAGATGGAGAAGGGATTACTAGAATACTAAATTCTATGGTGTATTATTCTCATGTAATCCTGGTACCTGGGAAGCTGTACACCTAAGAGGAATGATGAAGATTTTGTGTAGACCTCCTCGTGTGCAAAGATGAGGTGGTGTATTTTAAGGCACAGTGATAGAAACTCTGTATTTTGTTGTTCATTTGTTTTTTGTTGTTGTTTGGTTCTTTTCATTCTGAAAGCTTCTAACTGAAGTTAATTACCTCTCTACCATTTCAGTGCTTCATATATCTGGATTTGCTCCTCACAACTTTTGCATAAAACAACCAAGAAACCTAACTCGCTGAAATAAGAGCAAGGAATTATTTGATAAATGCAGACAACTGAAAACCCAGTGAATCCTTTTTGACTGGAATTAGGCAGTCCAGCCTTTAATTGCATACAGCCTAAACACTGTTACTGCCGAAAAACTTAACTGCTGCAGTTAATTCTCGCTGGCACTACACCACACTTGGAATGGGTGTCCTGTAGGGTACAGGCTCTGTTCAGGGTCACGTGTACAAGACATTCTTCACAGAGCACTTAGCAGGTGCGGTGTTTTGAATAGAGACTAAAGGGTGGCTTAAGGGCAGAAAATTAAATAGGGATTGTTCTGGGTGAGGTAGGAGACCTGTTTACATTATATTGGAGTTTTTTATTTTGGGGTTTAGTGTGAGGTGTTTTTTTGTTTATTTTAGTTTGTTTTTTTAAAGTATTTTGTTTGTTTGCTTTGAGAGAGAGAAAGAAAATGTTTTATTGCTAACTTGCCAATGAGCGAAACTTCGAGGAACCGACCCCAGTTTCTCCACTTTGCCACCAGATGTCCGTCATGAGCAGAGAAAACTGATGACCTGAGCGATATCCAGAAGCCTGGATTCGCAGCATTTTTGAAGATATGACAGTGAAAGTTCGAGGGAAATTACATGTTATCACTGAGTTTGGGATGTCAAATATGCTACGGAGGCTTCTTGGCAAGCAAAAAATCCTGCCAGTAGTGCTATATGTTTAACTAACTATTAAAACATGTCTCAGCCTGAAGCAGTTGTCAAGTACACACCCTTTCTTTGCACTCCTCCAGAGAATTAGGCATGCATTTCTCATCCAAAATCTTAAAATCCTTTGGAGAAACTTGTCCTTCCAGATGGCAGGAATATCCGAAAGCTGTCACTGCAGGTGATCTCTGTAGGAAGACTTAGTTCTTTTCACCCTCAGCCAGCTGCTGAGATGATGCTATAACTTTCCTAGGTCTGATAGTGTTAGCTGAATCCCACAGTGAAGCATTCACATCTACAGGCAAGAGGCATTTCCAAGCATAAGTAAGGTACAACTCTGGGAAGAACTGCTAAAACAAACAAACAAACAAACAAAAACCCCAAAAGGCAAACAAACAAAAAAAAGACTTAAACTTAACAAAAGGTGTAATGACTTCATAAGCAGGGTGTTAGCTTTCTAGCTACTCAAGGGAGCTAACCTCAAGAATAAGGTAACTTAACAGGAAATACTGGAAGGTGTGCTGTGTGTCCCTGTATGCAGACTCCATCAAAATCGGGTGCCTGAATGCTGCCAACTGTTATCACAGCTGCTGTTTGTTGCAGTAGTCCCTATGCACATGGCAATACTTCAAATATTTTTCTTTCAGATTAAAAATGTAAGGGTGATACACACTTGAGCATCAGAGAAGCAGGAACACCCAAGAGCTGCCCTGGAATTTTAACACTGTCTATTGCTGGATGTGCAACACCTCTTCTTGACTTTAAGAGGAGCAGGGGACACTTCGGATGGAAGGCTTCAATCCTCAGCAATAACCGTACAATGGGGCACTTCCCTCTCTTGTTGTCCAAACAGGAAGCGGAGGCTACAAAGCTCTTCTGGAGACAGATACGTGAACTACAGCCCAACAGGCTCAGAGACTGGGAAGTGAATGGCTGTGAGAAGTGGCTGCTCTCCTCCCTCACCACCTGCAAGGTAATTACCTGCCTAGGAAACAACCCTCACTGTCAGGGCTCCCGCACTTCCTCCCAGCCTCTAAATGTCCCTCCTAAGGGGCTACAAACTGCCCTTTATCCCCCTCAGCCCACCGAGGGGATAACTTGTGCATCAGGTTCACCTCCCGGGAGCCTGGGTTTTCCCAGCAGGATCCCACACTGTCTTGCAGAAGGAGAGGTGTGTTGCTCATCTCCTCTCCTGGAGTGAGCTCTCATCTCCCCATTTAATAAAACCAACCCCATTGCTATATGCTGAGAAAAGTGGGTACATGAATCAGTAGCGCAAAGGTTTCCCTAGACATCGCCTTACTGAGTCTTCAGTGGGTGACACAGACCTCTTTCACAAAGGTAATGGGATCCACTATAGATCATGTTGAATCTGTGCTGTCACATCCACCCTCATTTTCAAATTCTGAGTGTCTTCACAAACTGAAAAAAAAAAAAAAGAACATTTGCAAAAGTAACTTCTATACTCTTCTCTCCCACTCCATCCCCTTAAAGATGTCTTTTTTCCTTCCAAAACAAGCTCTAAAATACCCAGTATTACAGTGTTCCTTGACTGGTGCAGTTAAAACAAACATCTGTAACCTTGCTTTCACAGAACTGAACACTCAGTGTAACCTCCACTTCTGAAAATAACATATTCTGTCTTGAATATTCTCAGCTGTGTCTCTGGGAAGCTGAATATGAGCTTATTGCCAGATTCTGATTCTAATAAAGTTAATGGAAATTTTGCCAGTGACTTCAAATGGTCCAGATATTATTCTCAGGGCCAACTCCTCTGAAATTATCCCAGTTCAAACCTAGAGCAATTGCACTGATTTCAGTGAGACTAGCCTGGGTTTAGTCATCCAACCTCAGTGAGATCCATGAAGTCAGAGATCAGGATATGGAAGAACAGCTTCTCGCTCAACCAAACTGCTCTTATTATAGTGTGGGGTGGCAGGTTTGTTCCCCCGCCTCCTCCGATCGAAGTGATGATATGAGTTGCAACCTTACTGTAGGAACGAGTATGTTATTTTATGGCAGTATAACCTGCCCCACAGCATGCAGACAGGTACGCCATTGATCAGGGCTGGCAGGGGGTAGCCATACCTAGACATTTACCAATATTCCATGATCAGTTCTGCAAGATACTCCAGAAGAAGTGGTGTGGGATGCTGTAACCTGTTAAAGAGAACCGTAAAGCTTCTTCAGATTTAGAGCAGGTAGCACTCCACCTAGTTTCAGGACAAATAGCCAACACCCGCTATATACATATAGCCAACACCCTGGGGGCAGGAGGGGTGGCCGAAACCTTCCTTTTAACACGAAACAAGCCCCCAGAGTCGCACGGCAGTGGCGGCTGGTGCCGCTGTTCAGCGGAGCGCCGCTCCAGCGCAGCAAACCGATGACAACCGACGGAGCCGCCGCTCCTGAACCTGCTGCTCCGCCACCCGCCCCGCCCGGCCGCCCCCGCGGGGCCGCGCTACCTGCGCCCGCTCCCCGCCCCGGAGGAGCGGCCGCCCGCCCCGCCGAGAGGCGGGCGCGCTGGTGATTTGCCTTCGCCGCCCGCAGCCGCGCTCCGGCCAGCCCGCGGGGACCGGGGCTGCAGCCGCAGGAGCCGCTCGCTCGCTCTGCTCCCTGGCAGCGGGAAAAGTTTGCAGCTCTTCACCCTGCTCCTTTTCCCCCCGCACGCAGCGCCCGCGGCCCGGCGCGGATCCCCCGGGCAGGGGCATGGCGAACTGAGCGCCCGGCCCGGGGCGGGGGCGGCCCCGCCGCACCTGAGCGGCGGCGGCAGCGGCGGCGGGGGGGTCCGCACCGCGGTGCCCCGCGGGCGGCCATGCGCGGCGGGGGCGAGCGCTGAGCCCCCCCGGCCTGGCCGCCCCCCGCCGGCCCGGGCGATCCCCGCTGCCGCGGGGGGGCAGGGCTGGAGGGCGCTGGGCAGCCCCCGGGGAGAGCGGGGAGCGGGGACCTCGGCTGCCTGCGCCCGGCCGAGCGCCATGCCGCGGCGGCTGGCCTGGCTGTGCTGCTGCTGGGCGCTGCTGAGCGGCGCCTGCCGCCCCGCCGAGCCCGCGCTGCCTGCGGAGGGCGGGGAGCCACCGCCGCCCGCCGCCGCCTCGGGCTTCCTCTACCGGCGGCTGAAGTCGCACGAGAAGCGGGAGATGCAGCGGGAGATCCTGTCGGTGCTGGGGCTGCCCCACCGCCCCCGGCCGCTGCCGCGGGAGCCGCCGGCCCCGCCGCCGGGACGGCTGACGGCGGCACCGCGCTTCATGCTGGACCTCTACCACTCCCTGGCCGAGGGCGCGGAGGGCAGCGCGGGCGCGGAGCGGGGTGACCACCCGGCGCCCCTCGCCCCGCCACCGCTGCCCAGCCCGCAGGACAGCGCCTTCCTCAACGACGCCGACATGGTCATGAGCTTCGTCAACCTGGGTGAGTGAGTGAGTGAGTGAGTGAGTAAGTGCCGGGCTGCGTGGAGCCCACCCAGCCACCCACCCGACAGACCGCCCGTCCCGCGGACACCCGTGTCCCGGCGAGAGGTGGCGGGCGGCTCTTCCCCGATGGGGCGCGGCGGGACCGGGATCTTCGCCGGTCGGGCAAACGCACCTTGTGCTTGCACGGGTTTCAGCCAGGAGGGCAGGTCACTTCGGGGAAGGGCAGAACCTCTCGCAAACAGTAACAAACAAACAAACAAACAAACAACAAACCAGCATGCAAAACCTTGAAGGGAGGGGGGGAAGAAGAGAAAATAATAATGATTTTGTTAATAGTCTATTTGACCCTTTGACCTTGTTCTGATGATAGTGGTCAGAGTCCGTCGTTCGGAATTAAACTTTCCTTGCTCTGGTTCCTGGGCAGCAGAGCTGGGGTCATGCCAGAGCGCAGGTTGGGCTTGCTGTGTGCAAGGTCCAGCAGCACAGAGATGTCTTTGTGGCTTGAACAAAGTACATGTAGCCTACTCCACGGTGCCCTCATCTTCTCTTTTTTGTTTTCTTTTTAAGGGGATCAGAGCTAGTGTGGTGATGAATATGTGACTTGGTGTAGGTTAATCTGGTGAGTGAGCCCAGGAACATGATAAAAATGTGTATCATGTGGAAATCTTGAAATAAGTTCTGTTGGACATCAACCTGCTCTTCAAACAAATCATCCTGTCAGTGAGATACTGATATGAAGGGCTCCAGGGTGGGCATTTCAGTAGGAAAGCCATTAAGCTTTTCACTTGAAGGAGCCCTTGATACTATGCAATTGTAAGGAAACAGTGTAATTAGATTCAGCCTAATGTGGAGAGTGAAAATATTTCAGTTGGCAAATTGCAGTTCCTTTTTTTAGGGAATTCCTGTGAAGCTCAAATGTCTTAGCTGGTCAGCTGAAGACCGCCTTTTCACCAGTGCTGCCAGAGCTGTGAGGCAGAATGACAACACCTGTGAACAGCTTGACTCGTTTTAAAAAAAAAAACCCAATTTGTTGTGTGTTTACTTATTTGGAGCAGGGATATGCTATTGTAGTAGGAAATTTCTTTGAGCTCCCAGCATTGATACATGTGTTCAATAGCTTTGTGCCTGCTGAATGTATCTGGAACAAGAGCTGTTTGATTTTTTTACCTGATAGAAAGTAGGTCAGAAGTGCTACAAAATGTTGTTAAAGGATTTGTCTACATTGAAGCCGAGGTAATTGCAACTCGTGTGGGCACAGCTGAACTGTCTTAGGTGCTCATCCCTTACAGGAGTGCAGAGCCCTGCTGGCACCACATAATGCAGGCTTTGTACCTGTCAGGGTCTCAATTCCCCTTTTAAAGTTAGCTTGGGGATGTTTAGGTGGTGCTGACATCTCAGAGCTCTGGTGCTTTTGAATGAGACATCCTCAAAATCATCCATCAGTGAAACCAGCATGGTCTGGGTCTAGCTCAGAACCTGAAAATATTGTATAGGTTTTGAGTCCAAAGGGCACCTGCCTCTATTCTCCTCTTCTAACCTCACCAAACCTCTCTGAATACACAGAGCTGTTGCTGCTATCTCTGTTCTTTGCCTTGGGGACTTTTAGAACCTATACTTGGAGCTGTGAATTTAAGAAGTGTGGTGCTGGCTGTAGCTGTCTGTAAGCAAAACCCACAGCATGTTTTATTTGAGGAATGTGAAACAAGGTGCTTGCAAGGGGCTAGGCGGTTCGCAGAAGAGCTGATTTCAGAGAGAAGTGTGAGCATGTGGTGTTTCAGAAGGTATTTAGCTGTCTATAAAGTGCCAAGAGAGTAGTATTAGATAGTAGACCTAAAAGTATGTGTTTCTTTTGAAAACACACCCACCACTCATATAATTTAAATCAGTTCTGATAGTTTGGATCTAGACACTTATGTAACAACAAGGAAAATTTTTCATGTAATGTAGTAAAATAGTGTCATTGAAATGCTAGTTATGAGTCTCAGGAAGCATGAATCAACTGCAGAAATTTCTCATCAACTTCCAAATTCCAAGTCATAAACCATAATGTCATTTAGTGTGATTGTTTGTTACCAGAGTGTTGGCAAGTCAATGGGCTGAGACTGAACAGCTGTTTGGCTGTTTTCTGTAGCTTCTCTGACATGCCGGGGATTTTTTGGGGTCTTTCACTTGTGCATTGACATTTACTCTTCTACTAAACAATAATTAATGTCAGAAAACTAGAGGAAGCTTGAGGTTATATTCCAATATAGGAACTGAAGGTGTGACAGGAGAAAGCCAGCCTGCGATCTGTCAAAGTAGCTTATCAGATGAAGTCAGAAATGCAGCAAAAGGTGGTGGGATCACAGCAGACAGGGAAGACTTCCTGATCTTGAGCACACTGACTATTCCAAAGTACAGGTCAAGCAACCCTGAAAACCCACAGCTGGGGTCTGCGTATAAGCAGATGCTGCCAGAATTATTTTAGTTGGGGTTTTCTACATGTGACCATTCCTATAGTTACTTCTGTTCATTTCAAACTGAATTCTGAAGAACTTTGTGTTCAGCCTTAAAGACTTCTGTTTCCATTACTGAAGGGCCCTTGCTGTTCTCTCAGGATGAAGAGTGTGTGGTATTACCTGGGTATATCAGGTGCAGGTGTATGAGGCTGTGTAGGTGTGAAGTCAGTGTGGGTGACCTGCCTTCAGGTACTGATACTGCTTCTTCTTCAGCACAGAACCAGACAATAGTTTGATCCATCTCATGCTGGAAAGCCATCATCTTGGTCGGCTGTGCAGAGAAGTCCTACTTAGCTCATGAAAGTTTGCAGGTGTTGATGTTCTTTTAAGAGTGCATTTAATTTTTCCAACCCCATAGCCCAAAAGGAGTCACTAGCTTGTAGTCACAGCTGATCTTAAATGCACAGTGTTCAGCCCTTCTTGACCAACATACATCCTTCAGTCTGGAGATACAGCAGATGTGTTTTCTGCCCGGGGAAGGCTATATTGTGATATATGCTCAAGGTATGAGTCCTGTTTGTCAAGGTCTTGCAAAGCTGAGGGACTTTTGGTGAGGTCTTAGGTTATTCAGGCAGTGCAGGCTTATCTCAGTCTCAAAGGTAGTGATGTCCTTGGAGAGAAAATATAATCTGTCCTTGGTAACCTGGTTCCTGTTTTGGGAAGATGATCCTAAAAGTGTCTGTTTGGGGTATTTTCACTAGGATGAGGCACCTAAAAAGTGCCTGTTCCTTTTCATTTCTCACAAAGGAAGTCTGGATAGCTAGCACGTATGGAAACATCTGTGTATTAGATCTCTTTAGTCGATATTCCTCGATCAAAAAGGGTACCAAGCTTCTGCGCCATGGGAATGGCTTTACAGCAGGGTTGTGGGGATGAGGGCAGGGGAGTGCATTGTGGGCCAGCAGGTGTTTTTGTGAAACTCTTCATCTCTCCTTTTTGAAACAGCCTCGGTATAAGTGTGTGGCATGTCTTGACACAGTACTACTAGTGTTTCCTATTTGGATAAGGTACTTTCCTCATGGCATCAGATAGGATTATCTCCTCTTGGCAAAACAACCCAGATCCCTCTTGAGGCAGTGATGCTGGATTGGCAGCGGGATTGTCTAGCATCCCTATATTTTACTACCATTTTAATGAGAGACATATCAAATTCCTCACAACAACCACCTTCTTCCTCTTTCCAGGGAGATGAGGAGTGTCACTGCTTAAATCCAGCTGCAGACTAGGGTCAGGGGCTGTGGCAGATCTAAAGTCTCCCTGGTCTCCTTAGGTACATCAGTGCTGATATGAAGGGGATCTACTCTTCATCCTCTATTTTGCTGGCTGATGTCTTCAGAGTAGTGCGTGCCATAGGTAGCAGCAGAAAACAAGACTCTCAAAGACTTTGCTACTTTAACTGTGTCTGGAATTATTCCTGTATAATTAAAGGTGCTGTTGAGCAATTGTGTGTCAAAACAGGGAAGAAACTTTTCTGGTCCTCACCCATGCCTTCCTCTCCTGGCGTCCACACGGAGGGGAAAAAAAGCCATGTGCTTCCCACAATCAAAAATGAGGAATTCAGTGGCAGCCTTTGTGGGTTTTTGCCATGACTGAAATCTGGGGCTGTTGGCAGCTGGATAGCTGTGCAGGAAAACTCTGAACTCACCAAACCCTCCAGAGACAGGGATCGTAAAAAGTGTGCTTTTGGGGTGTGTTGCCTGGTTCTTCAGCTGAGTATCTTTTTGCAGGAGACTAATAGGATGGATTCACTGTATCTCTGTACTTCTGGAGAGAGAATTTTCCCTTTTGTCATAAGACCCACAGGTCCCTTGGGAGGACTTCATGCAAAAGGTTGAGGGGAAGCTCACCTGTTTGCCAGGCAGTCCTGCAGTGAACCCTGAATCTTTTCCACACGATTTGAGTTGGGACCATGGTGAAAAGCCTCTTTTGTTTTTGAATTCCCAAACTTCAGGCAATCCCTATCTTCCCTTCAAGACTTCAAGTGTCTGCTGGGGCATGGGTGCTCCCTTTCAGTGCAAGGGAACTGCTTGGAGGTAAATGTAGGACTTGCTGTACAAATACTCTCTCTCCCCTTGCCTGTAAAGGAGCACCTTATGGATATGATGTCTTCCAAACAGGCTTTTCATCTTTTTGGCAGCTGTCACCTACCAGATTTCCCTCTAGGAATGATCTTGCACAAATCCATAACACCTTAGGCGCAAGCAATATGCCTTTGTTGTGCATGGCTTTTCACAGGAGGGAAGCAGCGCTTCAGGATCCTGACATGCATTTCTAAAGGAGGTGAAATTTTTCAGCTGAAGGATTTGATTGGCCACCTGTCTTTTTCTGGGTACCATGCTTGCTGTTGGAAGATATGAAATTAGGTGACCAAGATGTATCAGGGACATTGCATGATTAGATTGATGGGACCGTACCATTCATACTGTCATCCCATCTGTTTATACTCTTGGCCACGTGTTGTAAAGGTCAAGACATCTACTCACAGGGAATAACCAGAGTG